TGTCATTTTAGAAATGGGAGGAAAGGTGGTTAAAACCTGATGAACTTTGCACTCTCTGTATGACCACAACCACACCAGATCCCCTCCCAGATGCTTAAGATGTCATATATAGGTCAATCTATAGAACCTATCTTTATGGAAGAGGTCACACATACTTCAAAATAAGTTCCAATGTAAATAAGTTTTATTTTTAAGCTTTATTGTATACACAGGATTGAATTAATTATCACCAGGAAACTTTTGTTCTAAATTTTGTTGTTCTTAAATTGCCTAAAATAAACTGCCTGGTTTTTAAAGTTCAGACTTTTGAAGTTTGAACCAACACCAGCTATTGAGTCATGCTGAACTGGAGCTCCTTCTTACCTCATGAATAGACACCCTGCTGACCTTGATGGTCACAGAGACACCCCCACAAATACTGTGTCTAAAAGGACTTTGTGAGGGTATTAGTATAACTAGATAATTACACAAAGTCATTATCAATATAAATTCTACTCTGTGGTGGTTTGAAAGAAGATGGCCCCCAAAGGGAGTAGCATTATTAGGAGGTGTGGCCTTGTTGGAGAACGTGTGTCACTGTGGGGGTGGGCTTTGAGGTCTCTTTTGCTTAACCTTTCCTCAATGTGACAATCAACTTCTGTTGCCTGCTAGATGTAGGACTCTCAGTTCTTCCAGGACCACATCTACCTGTATGCCATCATACTCTTGGCCATGATGATAATGGACTGAACCTCTGAAACTGTAAGTGAGTCTCCTCAATTAAATGCTTTCCCTACAAGAGTTGCTGTGGTCATGATGTCTCTTCACAGCAATAAAGATTCAAACTAAGACAAAATCCCAAGCCAATCATGAAAAACATTATGCTTAACAACCTGGGCATAGCAAGATCATCTTATATATTTTATCAAATTTAGGGTTTCAAGATTTTGGAGGCTAAAGAATACTCCTACAAATGAAGTATACTGTATTTAGGGGAACAGTTTTATAGCAAAATATTTAGCTGCCATGCTTAGTATATTAAGGGTTATTTTTAGAGGAACGGGAGAAAGATAATGACATGTTAGAAAATGAAATCAATAATGGCATAGGACTCTCAATACACACACACACACATATAGTTATCATGTATATGACTATGACGTAGAGTGGAAGTCTTTACATATATATTATATATACATGCATATATATGTATGGGCATATGCATATCTTGAGTATTCACTAGATTTTGTAATTTTGTTAATTAACTCTACATATGATTTGTCAAATGTTTTATTATCTGTAGTTCACAAAGTTTCTTGATATTGAGAAATAATTTCCTTTCATGCATCCTGTTTGGGGCTCAGTTTTTAATATAGCAAAATAGTGATTTAGATAGATAATTTATTTTTAAGAGATGGAAGAGGAGATTACATAGTAGCAACTATTTGTCTTGTGGGCCTGAGGCTCAGCTCTAGCCTTCTCTGCCTTATATGGTGAACAGCAGCCTTGTAAGCCAGTGGATGTAAGACACCTGCCAGTCTTGGCAGCAAGAAGCTCCATGGTGTAGTAGTCTTGTACCTGCTGTACTGCATAGAAGCCTTACACCTGTGTTCGTGAGCTTCTCATCACTACAGTGAGATACTGGCAGTAATTAACTTAGAAGGGACAGGGCTTATCTAGCTCATAGTTCAGGAAGCTCCAGTCTAAACTTGGTTTCTCTCACTGAGAAACTGGGCCTCTGTTAGGGGTACAACTGGCCGTAGTTGAGAGTGAACAGTAGGACTGACTGCTCATTTCACAAACCATTTAGCAACAGGTCCCCATAGAGTATGCTTCCTCAATCCTAACGACTTTCCATAAGGCCCACATCCTAAATGTCCACTACTTCCCAGTACCACTGTCTTAGAGACCAAGCATTTAACACATGAGCCTCTGGGGGACATTTATCCAGATCATGTAAACTCCCATAGCCCGCAAGATAATTAGCAAGCAGAAGAGCTTAGCAATTAGTAAACTGATCCATTCCTTCAAGAACGTGGCTTCTTCTCCATGTGGTAATGATTACATATACACAATAACACTTTGTTAAGATAATTTAGTTCAGTGGTCTATCCAGTTCGGTTCGCTTCTTGTTTCAGGGTGTGTGAGGAAGTCAGCCGTGTCTCTTAAAGCTTTGTAAGCTCAATCATTTGTCACTGACTGTTTTTCATGCCTTGGACATCCTCACTTGCTGGCAGTTTGTGGACCATTTTCCTTCTCTCCTTCTAGGTCCTTTTGTTTCTGGATCTTATGATATCGCTGGCCCTCTTTTTTTACTCTCTCTAATTTCACTCCATCATTTCTTATGAACCAAGATATTTTGTTTTCAGTGTTATCTTCTGTTCATACACCTTTCATTTTATTTCTCAGTATCTCCAATAGTCTATAGCCATATGTTCTAATTCTTAGTTAAAACGTGGGGATTAACCAGTGGCTAAATCTGAGATTGCTACAATACCTTCCCCACCACGACAGATTATATCCTCAAACCAGGTGCCCAAATGAACCCTTAAGTTTCTCTTGTCATGTGTTTTATCATATCAGTGAAAAAGTCATTAATATAGACCCCACTGAGTATATGACATGCTCATTGATGTCCTAGTTTCCAGGTCCATTGGCAAAATAATCTACAATTATAAATTACACAGCCTATGTATGATATTATGTTACAGGGCAGAAAACAGACCAAAGAAACATTCATAAGTAAATATCTAGGACAAACCTGAGCAGAGAAAGTGTGTATAAGACACAAAGAGATTATGGCTGTTCATAAGCTAAGGAGAGAGTCTCAGGAGAATGAAACCATACTCACACCATTACCTTGAGCTTTTAGCATCTACAGTGAGAGCCATTTCAGCATTTTGTGCTCTACACAGCAGACTTGACAAGCTCATTACATCCTGTAAGGAAACTTTGTTTCACTAACATCTTCATCAGACCCCCTCAAAAGTTATTGGGCATAATTGTGTTTCTATACCTATTTCTGATTCACTTGCTAGTAAGGATGAGGTTAGGGTTTTCCCAGCTGAATTGGTGGAATTATTTCCCTTATAAAATGATGGATGCAGAAAAGAGAAGTAGAGTTTAGTTAAAAAGGAGTACAGAAATCTGATGACAAGGGAGAATCTGTACAGTAATGGCTGTTAAACTAGTTAGCAGATTATTGTGAAAAATCATAGGAAACACTCAATCAAGTCCACCATATTGAACCATAATAGTCATTGTTTCTAAGCTTTATCAAGTCGAAGTTCATAGATTCTGCCTTGGCAGTTATTTGAAGAAAATCTTTTGTTGCTCTGGTAATACTTCTTTTTCAGTAGAAACATACATCACATTCCGGTTCTGCAAGCAGCATTATACTAGCAAATCCAATATAACCTAATAAGAAGTAATAACTATTTTTGTAATCTTAATTTATCATTTGGAGACAATGATCTGTATAAAAGCTGATGATTTATATACATACAATACCATAATGTTTATTAAAGAATATTTATTTGAGATATAAACCTTATAGTTGGTTAGACTTGTGTTCCCCTCCTCCACAACTATATCTATGTACTTTAACTCTGAGAGTGTAAGTTTTGTTTTACTTGGAAGGAGTTTTGAAGATGTAATTAAATTAAAGTTCTTAATTTAGAAGGAGATAATTATCTTAGGTTATGCTGGTCTGTTCCAAATCTAATTATGAATCATTAGATTCACAGAGTATTACATAGATATACAAGAAGCAATATGGAAATGTACTAAGAAAGTCATGGCCATATGTCAGTGAGCAGAGCTAGCAACAAAAGGCTCAAAGAGGCAGAGAAGGGTTATCTTTACTCTCCAAAGGGACTGCGTTATTTTCATTGCCTGGGTTCCTTATTAGAGGGAGTATCCGGGCTTATTAATAAAGTGGATGAGTTTCTGTTGTTCAACAATGTTTGTTATGATTTTAGCAATCCTCATTCATGTTAACTCTGACAGCTTTTATATATGATTTATTTAGTAAGTCCAATCCCTGATGTTTGATTTTTCAAAAACAATTTTCTATATGAAGTTTATTTTGGAGAAAGCAAAAAAAAAAAAAAGTAAAACCAAGTTGTGACACTAAGTATGAGTGTGAGTTGCCTCCATAAGGGATGCACTTGTTAAATCACTCAAAATTAGCCATCTCCCTTCCACCTCATATCTCCTTTTTTTTTTCATTTAAATTTTTTTTTTACATTCCAACCACAGTTACTTCTCCTCCTCCCACTCCTACCCCTGCCTTCCTCTCTACTCTCCATCTACTCCTCCAAATTGGTAAGGCCTCTCCCATGGGGAGTCAACAAAGCCTGGTACATTCAGTTGAGGCAGGACCAAGCCCTCCCCACCCCGCATCAAGGCTGAGCAAGGCTCTCACCATAGGGAATGGACTCCAAAAAGCCAGCTCATAAACCAGGGATAGATCCCAATCCCACTGCCAGGGGTCCTTTAAACAGATGAAGCTGCACAACTGTCTACACATGCTGAGGGCCTAGTTCAGTCCCATGCAGACTCTACTGCTGTCAGTCCAGAGTTTGTGAGTTCTCATGAGCTTGGTTCAATCATTTCTGTTGATTTCCCCATCATGATCTTGATACCCCTTGCTCATATTATCCCTCCTCCCTTTCTTCGACTGGGCTCCCAGAGTTCAGCCTGGTGCATGGCTATGGATCTCTGCATCTGCTTCCATCAGTTACTGGATGAAGGCTCTCATATCTCCCTTTTTAAGAGAAAGGAGGGAATATAGTGAAAAAAGAACATCGTGCCACTTTTACAGAGACAACCATAGTATTTTTTAATGGAAAAAATCAATGTTATAAGAGTATAGACATGATATGACCATTAACCATCATGGAATAGGAGTTGCTATGGTACATAAAGAATGCTTGGCTCCATAGTCATAGCAACAGAAGAACTAGAACTATATAATGATGCTTAGATCTATAGTAATAGGAAATGTACTCCTTAGAAGAAGAGAATTGGAAGGACCACAGGACCCTCTACTGAAATGTTAGCCACGTCTCTTGTCTGTCCACCTCTGGATTCACATGATGTTGAGAAGTGTTAGGGTACATAGGAGGCAGAAGGTTAACTGAAGGTGGGGTTCCATGATGTAGATTTAGAGTGTTACCAGTGATATATGTGACTTTCAGCAGTTGGGGTACTTTTAATACCACCACATTTTTTATAAATTATTCATTTCTGTGTAAGTAAGTCCAATAACTTTATTAGTTTGCTAAGTTGGACTTGGGAGGGATTCTTTCTTTAGTTTGTTCGTACCGTATCTAAGGTTAATTAGCATTTGTTCCTGTATCCCCAAGAAAACAGAAACACAATGAATTGGTGTACAACTGTAGGGCATGACAGAAGCATGTGAATTTTGGAAGAACAGTCTTGATCCCTTCTGTGGGTAGGAAGACATACCAGAGGCTGTTCCATCTGAGGAGGAATATCCACAGTGGCAATCCCATTTTCCCATGTGGAATAGAATGGTCTGCATTTTTGCTGTAGTGAAAACTACATAATTATTCCTATGGTTGACAGGGCCAAGGTTGAGATGTCTATACATATGGAAAATCAGTGTAGACAACCTTTGGAGGAAATTTTGGTGGGGTCACTTATTCTATGCAGTATATATTGATGTTCCTCCTTAATGAATGGAGTCTATCAAGAGAGCCTACCAATTAACTGGTGTATACACTGCAATTCCTGAAAGTAAAGTTTGGGAGGGAACTCTTAAGTTAGCTGTGCTTCCACAGAACAGTAGCCCAATCTTAGTGAGAATACAGTAGAAATGATAAAGAATCAGGAACTATTCATGATTGAGCTGCTGTTGTATACCAAATTAACTAGTCTGAATATGACATGCCTACTAAAGAGCTAAGAAAATGCTGATTCAGCAGGGACTTCAGGGATGGTATGGAGTTTTAGTGGCTTTGATGAGCCACATGGAGGGATATGATCTTATTAGATGAAAGAGACTTCAGCAAATCAATGTAACTATAAATGGCAAGTCAGTTGGGTTTGTAGAGTGCTGAAGAAATAAGAGATGAGAGAAAGGAGAAGCAGATAAAGAGGCTCTTCTGGGCCATTTAAAATGTGACAAGACTTGTGTAAAAGTGTCTAAGGAGGGGTCAACCCAAAGAAAGAGACTATACTTGCATGTCTTTGGAAAGCTTTAAGTATTTCATGTACAGTATTTTACCAAAGATAGGAAGCACAGGAGAATACTAATGATCCCTACTGGGCCATAGACAACTACTTTCAACTCACATTTAATTGCGAATTAAATTGGTTCCATGCTAATGTGCAGAGTATTTGGGCTTTGGTGGATGCTTTGTTGCAATTCCCAACATCATGAGGGACTGTGGATAACTAAGGATGGATGAAGAGCTAAAGAATTACAAAATCAGCCCAAGGATGAACTTGTTATAGGAATATGCCATTATCCTCCCAGATGGTGCTATGTACATTCCTTTATTTAATGAAAGTATACTGAAGTACATGTGGAAATTGTTTAATCAGCCTGAGGCCCTTCATAAGTCATATGTAGCCATCTGAGAAGCAGGAGGCACAGTGGAGAGACCATAGCCACAGTGCAATCCCAGAACCCTTTAAGCCCTTGGAACCAGCTCTGAGAGTGTCAGGCTGCGGCTGTGACCTTTAGTCAGACGTAATAGTATAAGCTTCATACTAAATACTTGTGATGAGGTGGTATGCCATGATAGTGCCTCAGGATGAGGAGACAGGATGGTACATGGAGATCCACGTCAATGTATCAAATGCTGTTCCTTTGACAGGAAAATTGGTACAAGTGATGGGATCTTTTCATATTTTATACACTGTACTAAATCTTACTATTTATCTATTTAGTGACTTTTTTGATGTTTTTATTCTTTGAGAATTTCACATGTATAAAATGACATAGGATCATATCCCGACTACTTATCCCTTCTAACTCCCTCTATATCACTCTCTATACATCCACATCCAAACTCCATATCTTCTTTATTAAAAAAAAGTAAACATTTTACTCAAAATGCAGTATTTTGTATTTTTTAAATAGATTTATTTATGTATTTATTTATTTTATATCCTGGCCACAGTTTCTCCCCCGTCCTCTCCTTCTAGTCCCTCGCCTATCCCCCCTCTATTTCCATTCCCCAGTCTCTTCCTCCTTCATCATAGGAGCCAGGGCTCTCAAGGATGCCTCAATAAAACTCACAGATTCAACTAACCTGGGCTCATAGGGGCTCACAGATACTGAACCAATAACTGAGGAGTCTACATGAGACTGCAGTAGGCACTTTGCATATACACATACATGCATATGTATATGTATGTATATATGCAAACACAACTGTAGAATATGCTACAGTTGTGTATCTTGGTCCTTTTGTGGGACTCTTAACAGTGGAAACAGGTGCTGTCTTCGACTCTTCTACAGGCCCTTGGGACCCTATTCCTCATACTAGGTTGCCCTTCCCAGCCTTAATACATGGGGAGGTGCTTAGTTTTATTGCAACTTGATATGCCATGCTTTGTTGATGCTCATGGGAGACCTGTCCTTTTCTTCTTCTTTTATTATAAAAATAACTTACCAAGTCCATTTAGTGTTTCTCATATGTGCACAGATGTTGGGCCATCCAGTGGATCATGGTCAACAATCTACCAAAGGCCAAATCCCCGAAGAAGAATGATTTTCTCTTCTTCCACAGCTAATTCCTGCTGATAGCTCCTTAGGTGTGAGCCTGGGAAAGCCTGCCTCATCTATGGGGAAGTTTTGGCTGGCTTTGTCTTGTGAAAGTAACCATAGTTACTATGAGAGATTTTGTAATTTGCTAGCAGCCAAATTCCAAGCCAATTGTCATTTACTTGGAATAGAGGGTGATGGGTTTTCAGAGTCTGTCCATTCTCTATAACAGGTTGCATAGCATATAAATTACTAACTTCTGCAAATTTTATAGATTTGCAGAGAGCATCTGAAAATAGCAGTAGAAAGAGATGTCAGATAGTTTGAGGAACGATATCCTGCATGGGTAGAACAGGCACATCCAGCAGGTTTAACAATTACTGAACAAAATTCCAGTACCAGGGATGGGTTACTTCCATATGGCCAGGTGGGAATCATAGACTCAAGGGCAGAGGCTGTCAAATAAATGCAATGTGCCTGTCAATTGCCTTTCTGAATATTTGTGTATAGCCCCTTAGATTACTGGCACTGTCTTGTATGTAGAGAAAGGCTCCTTTCCATTGGGATAAGGTAACTGAGAGAGGGTTATAATCAAACTTCTAAGAATTCGTGACTGCTGCTGTGGCATTGGTGGCCACATTATACACATAAAGGATCAAACAAATAGCAAACACTCCAAAGGCTTAGAGAACATTGTAGAAGGATAAGGAAGGGTGTAAGTGTCCAATTACAGTGAGGGTGGTAGTGAGAGAGAAAAGTGGCATTTTTCAGACATAGGCACAATGTGGCCACTGGCCATCGTGAATTAGAAGTTGTAGTGGTGACCTACAGAGTGTGTGGCTCCATAGCCATGGCAACAGAATAAAGAGAATACAGTGATAACCAGGTCTCTATTGACGGTGGCAACTTAATGCTCCCTAGTGAAAACAGAAGAGAGGAAGGATCACAGGATCCACAACTGGGATTCCAACAATAAATCTTTCGTCTTTATCAGATAAACATGATCTTGGGAGTGTTAAAGTACATGGGGCATATAAGATTAACTGAAGGAGGGGTACATGATGGAGCCTTTGTGAGGTTGTACCCATGATTAGTGGCTTTTGGTGATGGAGCTGTTTTTGAGTCACTCAAACTCCTGTGGCTGTCTCCTTATCCACTATTCTACTCTAAGGAAATACCAGTAAATTCATTGGTTCATCAAGGTGGATTTGGGTGGATCATTTCTTTAGCTGTTGTGCTATATCTGGTATGAAATAAACATCTTCTTATCCAAGATGTTCATTTTCATCTCCCCAAGAAAAGTAATGAATAGCATTAAGAACATACCATTACAGCAAACTTCCATTTAATTTACCTTTTCTACCTTTCAGATATTTTATCTTATACCACATATAGAAACAAATGTAATTTATTAAATATAAAAATTTCCTTCCCCTCCTCCTCCTCCTCTTCGACATGGTCTTCTGCAGAAAAGGCTAGCTTGTTTTGTTTTTCGAGCCAGGGTTTCTCTGTGTAGTTTTTGGTGCCTGTCCTGGATTTTGCTCTGTAGACCAGGCTGGCCTGGAACTCACAGAGATCTGCCTGGCTCTGCCTCCAGAGTGCTGGGATGATGGGATTAAAGGTGTGTGCATGCCACCACTGCCTGGCCCAGGCTGGCTTTGATCTTGCTTGCTGTTTAGCTCAAGGTGACTCTGGACTCCTTTTCCTACTAATGTTCAAAAGTGTCAGTATTTCATTACCACAACACCCGCAAAAATTCTTCCTTGGCTTGTACTTATCAAGGTATGAATAATTCTGACACTGTTACAGTATAACCTAACCTTTGGGGAACAAAACCCTAGACTTTTATGGAGCAGAGAAATCCTGGCTCATTGTGTCCTGAGGGGTTATGAATACTAAAAATTCAGAGTTCACTTCTCCCATTTTCAAAGGTTTCCAGAAAGCAGAGAAAGCAGGGGACTGATCAAGATGCTCAGTGTTACTTAATGTTCATTACATCATGTCACTTGTATTTCTCATTTTGACTTTAGATAGTTAACTTTTTTCCCCTCTGACAGACTGAAATCGTTCTAGTGTGGGAAATGGTTGCTTTGTATCATTTGAAATCTGGCTGGTCTTTAGTTATTTCTTGATATTCTTGCCAATGTTCTCTAGGTAGTGAAAAGGATTGTATCCCTAATCAAGTGCCAAGTTCACTCTAAGATTAATAGTAATAAAGAACTTTTAATAATATGAAGATAACATGTAATGATTAGCCTGAGAGCTCAAAACACCCATAATGTAGCAATCTCAGGGAATGCCTGCAGTTAACTTGGACTTCTTCATAAAAAAGAAAGAAAAAAATCACTTTTAGATATTAGTTTCAAAGTAGTTTAGGTTTTAAACCTTTATTTCTGTATGTTCCCTTGGTATAGCTAAGGAGTACTATATACTGGCCATGGTGGCACCTGAACATTTGTCCCCTTTTCTAAAGGAGAAGATGGCTGTAAAGATGCAGATGTCTAAGCTGTTAATATCATAACCTTCTTGGGTTGCCAAGGAAATAGGAAAACTTGAACCTTTCTGCAAAACTAATTTGCAAGTCTGTGTGTTTCCATTTGTATTGTAACCACCTATTGGTTTTATCTTCACAGACCTCAGGTCTCTCTGATTCTATTTCAGTGTCTTGGTCTTCAAAGAGACCATAATAAAAGATGCATGACAGATACCATCTCTCTTGCTTTTACTTCATTGCTCACTTCAAAATAACAGAGCTTGGGAGAATCAGAGCAGGTTCCTCCCTAACTTTATTTCAGGTTGACAATAAGTACTTTCCCAATCTGTTTGTATCATGTAGCCCAGTGTTGTGTAAAACACTGTATGAAGTAGATGGCACTTTACCTTAGTTCCCTTCCAACATTTAATTTGTTCCTTCAAGTTCTAAAGGAAGTAAGGTTTTCATGTGGTTTACCCATCATCTACTTGCTTCAGAATAGTAAGCATTTCTTACTCAAAAGTATCAACATCATAGCTTGGGGCAGTTTTTAAGTCTGCAGATTATCTATTACAAAACTTTTCCTTCAGAGCATCACACTCTGGGAACACCAGGAGGTATAAGGAAGGAGGGATAAGTCCCAAGAGCTCAGAAAGACAGGTGAGAAGCGTGGTATTTAAGAGTAGAGATGATAAAATAGAATTCATGCAATCAAAAGAGAAACAAAACCTGGATTTAATCCATATCCACCACTTCTGGTTTTGTGTGACCCCAGAAAAGTTTCCCTGAGCTTCAGTTTCCTTATCTAAACAAGTCAACAATGCTAATTCATAGAACTGTAACACACTATAACACACACACACACACACACACACACACACACACACACACACACACACACACATATGCACACACTGTGAGATTGCCCTTTTACAAGTCAAAATGTCTATTGTTGTTATTCTTGTCCAGGTCTTGTTTAGGTAGTCATCTTACTAGCTCCAAATATTCAGATATGAGTATATAACCTTGAGTGACCACAGAAATAAGGAAGGTAAACGTGAACCAAGTGCTGAAAGGTTCTAGAGAGCAGAACAGAATTTTAACTTGTTCTTTTTGAAATGGGTCTGTAAGCCACTCTCCAGCCCTTTCCCTTTATTGTTCTAAGGTGCCACTAGTAATTCCTTCAGATTCATCTGTAGATCCTTGTTTATTACCAATTTCTCAATATTGGAATGCCTCAAGCAAGTGAGTTTGAACTTCCTGAAAATCAAGTAAAATTTTATATTTTTCTCCCAAAGAATTCCTGCCTATACAATGTCAATACTTTATTTCATTAGTATTGAATTTTCCTTGTTCTGTAGGTTTATAAACCTGTGACAATGTTCTGAAATGATATAAGTTCTCAGCCAACATAAATTTTTATATGTATTTTGGACATGCTAGCAAACTCTCTGTTTATTCTTAACACAACACTGTATTACAAGGATACAAATGTGCAATGACTGATAATATAAATTTTATGGTAGAAATCAGTCTAAATTGTGTGCTAATTAGAATAGGATTATTTTCTTTACATGCTTTCTGGAATGTTCACAATTCACTTAAAACTTACCATTATGTATAATTGTATTTGCCAATTGGTTATTAAGTGACTAACAATAGGCCAAAAAAGGAAATATGATCTACATTGTTATTTTAAGAAACTATATGTATTTTCTTAGTATGACAAAATATAAATAGCAAATGCACTAAATGCTCTTAAAATTGAAATGTCTTCTTAAATATCACCATATGAGACTAGAGAGATGACTCTGATTCAAAGCACTTGTTGCTTTTCCAAAGGACCCAAGTTTTGTTCCCAGCACCCACACTAGGCAGTTTCCAACCTTCTATTAATACAAGTTTCAGAGGTTCAGACACTTCTTCTGGTTTCCACAGGTATCTGAATGCATGTGAACATGCACATGGGTGTGTGCGCGCTTTTGAAATCTTAGAAGAAAAATGTCTTCATATCATTATTGGCTTTGTGAATCTAGACAAATCATTTAAATTCTCTGGTGTATAAATTTTGTAGTCTATAAAAACAGAAAAATCATACAAATGCTCAAGTTATCTGACAAGATTCCAGTGCAGATAGGATATGATCAGTATTTGAAATCAACAGGGTAAACATTGAGAAAACACAAATGTATGAAGATAATTTGAGGGAGACCAGAAATGAAGTATTTATTAACATTATTTTGAGTACTGACATCATTATTGGTATGTGATGTGATGGCCTTTCATAGTGTCTATTAATGATATTTTTTAAGAGAACCAACTGTGGTGGTTTTAATGAAAATGGGCCCCATAAGTCCATAGGGAGTGTCACTATAAGAGGTGTGGCCTTGTTGAAGTAGCTGTAGCCTTACTGAAGGAAGTGTGTCACTGTGGAAGCAGGCTTTGAGGTCTCATATGTGCTCAAGCCATGCCCAGTATGACAGTTCACTTCCTGTTGCCTGCAGATCAAGATGTAGAACTTTTCTGCTCATTCTACAGCACCATGTTTGCCTGCATGATGCCATGAAGGTAATAGACTAAACCTCTGAAACTGTAAGTCAGCCCCGATTAAATGTTTTCTTTTATAAGATTTGCTGTGGTCATGTCTTCTCTTCACAGCAATAGAAACCCAACTAATATCAACGTAGCTGTTTTTGGTTTAAAAAGGTAATCATGTTTATGTAACTTAGTGTTGCTACCTAAGTTGTGGCAAAGTGTGGCTGATCTGATTATTTGACCTCAAATAGACCACATAAATGAGCAGTAGAATTTTCATCCTTCAGATGATTGTATTATTGTCATGTAGAATCAGTTTCACAACCCTATATACAAGTTTTGTGGGTGGGTTCATGCATGTGCTTGCCCATGCACGTGCACACACACATACACACACCCCACAGATGCATGGACAAATTACTAAGAAAAGAACATTTAGTTAATTGCTTATAAAAATTGTGATTGAATATGGTAGAGTTGGCCTTACCAAAGAGATGGAAGAATTAGGAAGACCCATGCATAGCATATTGGACTTAGCTTCAATGTCTAAATATTCATTTTAAGACTTCCCTCCCTTTATTTTTGTGAGACTGGGACTATTCATTTGGTCACATTTAGCTTCCCTTTAGTCCTCATGAAAAGAGTTTAATCATGTTCAATATTTCTGAACCATAGTGTCTAGAAGCTTCTAGAAGAGAAAAATGGTGTTTGATGCATTTTGTCACCTTAAAAAGAAGTTCCTTGGTTAGCAAAGAGAAATGCTCTAGAAATAGAAAAGCAAGACACACTCTGTAAGTCTTAACATTTTCCCTCAACCATTCAAAAGCATTTTTTCAGGTTATCTGCAATGCTGTCTGTTTTCATAAGACTTGGAAATAAATGATACAAAACTGTTTCAATGTTTTAATGCAAATTAGTTGTCATCTTGATGGAGTGAATTTACATCACACCTGCATCACTTGCTTCTTCTTTCAGATTGTCTAAAATGTCAGCACCATCAATGGATGGATGATATTAAATTAGTACAATGCGAATAGTGTAGCAGGAATCCACATGGTTTTCAATAAGCCATTACTCTTTTTAAATGAGGCCTAGCATGATGTCATCCATGGACCTAAAAAACCCTTTAATATGTGAATAGTGAGCTTGTGTGGAGCGTGGTGATGTCTGTTTCCTAATGATTGTATAATTACTTTACCCAAATCTAATATTTTAATGTTTATCTTTGTGCTAATTTTTCTAATGATCACCAAATTGTAATTTCTGTAAAACAAAAATTTCCTAAAACCAGATTGTGATGATTAAATTACTCTGATTTAACCAAAGAATCACATTACATATGTAAATAGGTTCTCTGTTTCCTTTAGGTACCAGAGCATTTGCCTGAGCAAAGAAAAGTTTCCAGATCCTCCATCCTGAAGGAGCAGAACAAAAAATGACCAGAAAGGCAAAAAGTTCATGCCTTCACAGAGTTTATGTGTGTTCTGAATGGCTGTCAAGTAACTTCGCTTAGAACTCCTTAGAACATAAACTGTTCTGCGGAGTTCATCTAGTGGGTGTACTAAAGGAAATGTAGCCACTGGGCATTCATATTTGGTGCCCAAGATTCAAGGAAGGCATGGACCATGCTTTAGTCATACAGGTAATAGAAAAATTACAAAATTGTATCTTGGTTTGGATACAACATAAAAGCTGGGGAACAAGCTGACACTTTGTAAAACAAGGCCTGGGATAACATTTAGTAGAAACTGGATTTTTTTCTATTTGATTCCAGACATTTTTAAATTATGCTCAATATTTTTGAATTCCAACTCAATATTACATGTTATTTTTATGTTTTGAAAGGAAATGACTGGTGCAGATTTGAGAGATGTTGGAAAATGGAAAAGATTCTTCAGTAGCATATGAATTTATTTAACAAGAATTTGCTGCTATCCAATGAACTGTGATACGAGTTCCTTAGTTACCTCTCTGAACATTTATTGATTAATGATAACGAGGACAACAAAAACAGAAAAAAAAGGAACCCAAAGAATCTTAGCCAGTATATTACAAAGGCCCAAGGATTATCCAAATCAGTTTTACCAATTCAAATTTTGAGTTTGGGAAGACTTGAACATTAAAATAAAGGGAACAATAATTTAAATACAAGAAATGAGTAGTTTACTATCATTAAACATCAGTTTCCCTGGAAAATAAAGTTAATGGTGTCTTGGTTAAGGGTAGTAGACTTTATCTAATAGTAGACCCTATCTATTTCAGGCAGTACTTGAAAGTTGGGCAATGGCTTTGGTACTGTTATGTACTCGGTGGGAACACAAATTTCTCTTTTTGTCACAAGATAATTTGTCTATATTTATCAACATATTTTAGAAGATAGCTCTGAGCCAGATATATGTATATGTATCTATATATAATACATATATTAATATGTGAATAGTGGCTTGTGTAGAGCATGGTGATGTCTGTTTCCTAATGAACTGTACAATTACTTTAGCCAAATATAATATTTTAAGGCTTATCTTTGAGCTAATTTTTCTAATGATGACCAAATTGTAATTTCTGTAAAATATACATATATTTTATATACATTAATATATTGTACATATATATGTATACATTTATCCTGAGAATAAATGAATTTGCCTGTTTTCCTCTCTGTTGCTGTGATAAAGATCACAAGCAAAAGTTACTTAGGGAGGAGGGGGTTTACTTTTGCTTACAGTTTATAGACCAGCATTGATTGAAGTTAGGGCAGGAACTCGAAGGTAGAACATTCAGGCGGGAACGTTTCAGTTCCCATGAACGTTTCAGAGGCCATGAAGGAATGCTGTCTAATGGATTGCTTCTTATGATTCATTTACTTCTTTCTTTTCTACCATCCATGACTACCTGCCTGGGTGTGGCACCACCAACCGTGGTCTGGGCTTTCCCACATCAACCATTAACCAAGAAAATGCCCCATATACTTCTCTATAGGCCAATATGATTGATGCAAATCCTCAACTGGCATCCACTCTTCCTAGGAGGTTCTAGCTTGTTCCTGGTGGGCAAAGAACTAGCCAGCATAAACATACTGAAATTAAAATAGATGTATAACATTTGTAAGAATAGGTTTTAATTTTTTTAAATTTTATTTTGTGTGTGAGTCTTTTTCTCTGATATATGTGTGTACACCATGTGCATGTCTGGTGCCCAAAGAGTCCAGAAGAGGACATTGGATCTTCTGGAACTGGAGTTATAGAGAGTTGTGAGCTGCCACATGGGTTGCTGGTCTTCTGGAAGAACAATAATGTTTTTAAACACTGAACTATCTTCTAGCCCCAGAATTATTTTATAGAAATAAAATTATAGAAAACAAATAGTTAAATAAAAGGAAAGATAATTATATAGTATTAATATCTTAATATCATTAATAATCCTGCCTTTGATTGGGAACAAGTTTAAGGCCATTCGATAGGAGAATGGGTTAAGCAGTGGCAGAAACTCGCACTTAGCAGAGTATACATTTACTTAAAAACAATGGATTTGGGTTTTATCAGTTAACTTCTTTTTTTTTTCCTGTGAGGCTCAAGTGGATAAAAAAATAAGACTGAGAAAATATTTGTTATTAAATTCCATCTAGTTAAGACTATACATGGATAACAGCATCAAATCTTCTCTGTATATCTGTATAATATGTAATTGAGTTATATAGTGGCAGAAAACGGTATTGAAGGATGACCAATGGATTGCAATTTGACTTTCCCTTTAGGCAAACAAAAGCCAATATTGCATTGAAGAGAAGACAGCACAAAAAAGAAAAATGATTTTTAGGATTATGCCACAAGAATATGACTACATTTTTTTAACCAGTACATCTACACATGTTTAGATAATTACGCAAGGGAGAAGAATACAGAATTAAGTCACCTTCTGAGTGGCATGTAATAAAGTAGGAGATGCATGGTGAATGTTAAAGCAGCAGGATGCAACACCTTATGTGACTTTCAGGTCCCATCTTTTCAGAGGCTGTTCCGATCAGAGTCATCCTTGAGCTCTATGCTATTAAATTCAACAGACCTACCCTGTCAATCTTGAAATATCTCAGGTTGACTTGCTTGGTTTTATATATCCCCAAGTTTCCTTCCAACTCTCTGCTGTCCTTTCTGATCTTTCCTGAGTCCTGTGTGTGTGTGTGTGTGTGTGTGTGTGTGTGTGTGTGTCTGTGGGTAACCCCAGTGTGCTGTGATGTCTTATTACTTTATATATTCTATGGATTTCATCTCATCCTATAGTTTGTAATTTCATCCAAATTGATGACCATTTGTGAATTTTCTCCAAGTTTTCAAAGCATATCCATCCAACAAAGACATCTTTTCTCTACTGTACATTCTGTCCTCTCTAGCTCCCCTTTCTGATTTCTTTTTGTTAAGTGACATCTATACATTTATAGTCAAAATGGTGTAGTCAGTTTTCTCATCTACCATTTACATTCTAGGGACTGAACTCAGGCTTTCAGGCTTGTTGTCAAATACCTTTTCCTGCTGAGCCAAATTGCCAGTTCTCAAACTCCAATTTCCAGGTACCATTTAAGATATTTCTATTCTCTTTCTCTCTCCCCCAGCCTCCCTCCCTCCCTCCTTCCCTCCCTCCCCTTTTCTCTCTCTCCCTCCCTCCCTCTCTCTCTGTCTCTGTCTGTCTGTCTGTCTGTCTGTCTCTCTCTCTCTCTGTATGTGTGTGTTGAGTATAGAGTCCTGTACGATCATCCCCAGCTACTGATAGACATGTGTAATTGTCAGTCTAAACAAAATTGTCTTTAAATATCCCATGATTACCAATACTTGTTACTGACACTTCTATTTCCTGATCAAACCAAAGATTCAGTGTGAGTTTGTAGATGTAACCAATCGTCTTTTTAAAATAAGAAACACAGAGCCAATGTAAAAGAGAAAGCCGAGAGGTCAGAGCTCAGAGATAAAATCTTACCTCCTGCAGTGCTCCTAGCTTCCCCGAGAGAGCTACTTCCTGTTTGTCTG